CAGTCTTTTATTTTCTATTGTAATGTCAATTTCTTGTGATTACTGGGAAAATGAAGCTGTAACCACAGACCACAGTGCTGCAACTAAATCCTGGTATAAGCACCGGTTAGGCAGTCTTGAACTATGCATGTGAAGCCAGCTGAGAGGTATATCCAATCCTATAGATTTCTCATTGTTTGGTAACTATTTGCTGCAAATGCAACAAAAATCAATATAAAGATATTACCCACACAGCATTCTACAGGTTACTTGTGTTATTATGTATTCTATTCCATAAACGATAGTCTTACAATTACTCTAGCTGTTTGACATTGCGAGAGGCCCTATTGTGTAACTTTATTTAGAATGGTTTCGTCCAAATTCAAATTGAGTTGGGCCATAAGAATCACTGCTTTCAATTTAGTCGCCGCCAATTAGTTATAAAACGAAACTAAAAAATTCAAACGAGACTCCTCGTTTTGTGGCACATTGTTTCAAAACACAAAGGATAAGAAAAGTAGCGCGTAAGTGTCACAGCGGGAAAACGCATGCAATTATGACAAACACTGTAATGATCAATTAGCCGTTGGCAGTTGCGCCGAAACTATCGGAGCAACACAAATGTATTGTTTAACGACCGGAGACGAACAAATATTGAAATAGTACCACCCACCAAAAAAAAAACAGATCGGGTAATATATAAATATGTATAGCTTCAGACTTTTGCATTATAATAATGACTATCGAAATTATTCAAAGCACTGTATTTTTTACATTTAAAAAAGAAAAACACCGTGACCGGGCACAGTGACACGGCGGACATCCCATTGCCGAACTTGTTGTATAGAAAAATAAATCTGAAACACGTCTGTTACTACTAGCCGTGGATTGACACCAGCATTGACAGATTTCGTGATAAACTGACCTGATTCTGGGGGAGTGAAGAAATTGAACTCCTCACTAGAAATGATTCGCCTCCCTGGAATCGAGCGTTCATAGAAGTACGGCGCGCTTCCATGGCGACTCTCAGCCACTGCACGGGTTCTGCGACTTCTAGGCATCTTGTACTGCAAAAGGTGCCCACGGATTTTACTTTGACGTGAGACTGTTGTGGAAATAGTAACAATATTGTGTTGGGAAATGTCAAATGTACGTTGTTGTGAGATCGAGTACCTAGACCCACGCTGACACTAACCTTTGACATAAATGACTTGTGACGTCATGCATTAATTATCATAATTATCTGCTGGATATACTCTCGCTGTCACACCTTCGCGATCACGTCTCCCATTTATATAAGTTAGTCTCCCGTCGCGATATAAAATATATCACGTTTTCTCTGGTCAACTCTGGTCAGATAGTATAATTAAACACCAAAATCTGTATATGAATATCATGTCACCAATGGAACAATTACACCTGAAATACTGCAAATACCTACTCAAAGTTAACAGCAAAACGACCAATGTGGCATGTCTTTTAGAATTAGGAAGGTATCCATTAATTACAACAGGGATAAAACAGATGATCAAATACTGGTCTGGAATAACAAAATGCCTGAAAATTCGCTGGTATATGAAGCATACAGTCTCGGCTTAGAACTAAACAACTCTGGCACCTACAACTGAGTTTCCGGGTTAAAACTTATACTTAAAGATCTAGATATAGACCATTTGTGGCATGAAGAAAATAAGCAAACCGCAAACAATGTAATTATAGATAAAATAATATCAGAAAAACTAAAAACAAAATTTGAAAAAAATTGTAAACAGATTTTAGACAATGATAACAAAGGGAAAAATCACAAAAATAAATGGCACACTTATAGAGAACTGAAAACAGACTTTGGCTTTGAAAACTACTTACACGTAATCAAAAATACACATCACAGGTCATCAATGACAAAATTGAGAATTAGTGCTCCCAGACTACAAATAGAGACTGGGAGATATAACAACACAGATATATCTAATAGAAAATGCCTATTTTGTGACTCGGAAAAGAACGCCATAGAGGACGAAGAACATTTTCTGTTAGTAACATGTGATCTTTGCGGGAGAAGGAAAAACAAAAACTTTATCAGCTGTTATCACCCGCACATTTAGCAAAAACTAAAGAAAAACTCAAATATGTTTTAAATAATAAAGATGAGAAAACAATAATACAAATAGCAAAATACATAGAGAACTGTTTCAAAACAAGAGAAGAGAAACTGAAAACATTATAGTCAGCTATCTCAAGATAAGGTCATGTAACACGCATTAGTAATCCAAACATTCACCAACCAAAATATGGTAAACAATCAAATTCATTTTTAGAATTTGCAACAATCATTTCGCAAACATTTCCATCAATTTGAACAACTTTACATCGCGTGTACAGAATGCTATTATAATGAGCGTTTACGAGTCTTTTCGTTACATTTTCGAACATTCAACTGCGTGATTCGATATGACAAAAACATCGATCAAATTTGAAAGCAATTTTTGCCCACTTCCCAATCACTTAGTATACGTTTACGCGCTGTTTTGTAACAGGTCACAGTCAGCTTCAGTCATGAGCGCTTAAGAATGTTTACGACACTTTTCTGAACATTCAACTGCGTGATTCAATACAACATTGGTCAAATTTGTAACAATTTTGCCAACTTTTCCATCACTTTGAATAACTTTACTTTACTTCAAGTTTTGCTTGTATATGACAGTTTGCTAATATGAGAAGCGTTTACGAATCTTTGTCAACAACAAAATATTTGGATGGCTGGTTTGGTCTCCCATGCAAGTAGTAGACACGCTCAATGCAGCTATTTTTTAAAATTGGTTTAGAAGTGTTTCAAATTTCATATCAACTATATATATATGTTGCGCGTAACTCGATGTTCTGTTAAATGTTAATTGAACATCGAGTTACAATTTGGGCGTAGTTTCGCAAAAGTGGGCGTGGTTTCCAAAATATGTGACTCGATGTCTTCATAACTGGAACAATTCAGCATCTGATGCCTCACACCATTTGAAGGGACCCGGTGCTCATGATGCTTCAGTAGGCAAATTGTACAAATCTTGAAAGGTTAATGCTTGCACGTACTGAATTAATACATTACGTAACAAATGTTTGGCGAATGTCGCATACGACTTGTTTACCGCTTCCGTGTCACTGAGAATGTTCTAGAACCGTACTGTGTCTGGGTGGAATATTCTAGATTTTTTTTTAGAAACTGGTTGAATAGGTAATAGAACACTGTAGAAGGGAATAGAAGGTAATGGAACATTCTAGAAATTTGTAGTAAATTCCAGACTCATTATGTATGCCGATGTAATGGTCTATTTATAGACAGTGGGGGTATATATAGGGGAGTTGTTCAGCACTGAGTTCAGAACGGAGATCTCGTTGAATTGTATTGGAGTTTAAGTATCTAGTTATTGGAGTAGTAGAGTTTTACCGCGTTATTGTACTTGATGTTTGCAGAGTATAATAATACCAGTACCAGTTGAAACATCATCTGTTGGCTCCGTGTTCGTATGTTATCATCGCCGCCAGAGAAGTCTTTCTGTCACTGTTTGCCATTTTGGTATTTGAACCATCACACCTGTACTATACCAATTACGGTAATATTACGTTGCGTGTGACAGCGAATATTATAGCATATTTCTTTGTATTTCACACAATATAGTTTATATGACTTTTATTTGTAGATTTGTTGTGACCTGACAACAAGGATTTTTTGAGATATAAAGTGTGACCCAAGATAAATGTCTAGATGTGGAAAGAGACATTCTATTACTGGAAGCTAGTAAGGTCAGGCATTCGGTGCAAGCTTGGTGGTCGGGAGCTTTAATTTGATAATTTGGTCTATGTGTATTTCATTTCCAGCACTATTGTCTTGTCTACCCCATTCTGTGGGTGCTCCACTCAACAGCAATAAGCAGGCCTTACACTGTGACAGTACAAGTGGGTGAATAGAGACTAATTTGGGGTACTGGAGCAGGTACAAGGGGTGGATAGAGACTAATTTGAGGTACTGGAGCAGATACAAGGGGTGGATAGAGACTAATTTGAGGTACTGGAGCAGATACAAGGGGTGGATAGAGACTAATTTGAGGTACTGGAGCAGGTACACGTTGGTGGATAGAGACTAATCTGAGGCACTGGAGTAGGTACAAGTGGGTGGATAGAGACTAATTTGGGGTACTGGAGCAGGTACAAGGGGTGGATAGAGACTAATTTGAGGTACTGGAGTATGTACAAGTGGGTAGATAGAGACTAATTTGAGGTACTGGAATAGGCACAAGTGGGTGGATAAAAACTGGTCCAGAGTACTGGAGTAGGCACAAGTGGGTGGATAAAAAACTGGTCCAGAGTACTGGAGTAGGCACAAGTTGGTGGATAGAGACTAATCTGAGGTACTGCAGCAGGTACAAGGGGTGGATAGAGACTAATTTGAGGCACTGGAGTATGTACAAGTGGGTAGATAGAGACTAATTTGAGGTACTGGAGTAGGCACAAGTTAGTGGATAAAAAACTGGTCCAGAGTACTGGAGTAGGCACAAGTGGGTGGATAAAAAACTGGTCCAGAGTACTGGAGTAGGCACAAGTGGGTGGATAAAAAACTGGTCCAGGGTACTGGAATAGGCACAAATTGGTGGATAGAGACTAGTCCAGGGTACTGGAGTAGGCACAAGTTGGTGGATAGAGACTAATCTGAGGTACTGGAGTAGGCACAAGTGGGTGGATAAAAAACTGGTCCAGGGTACTGGGTAGGTACAAGTGGGTGGTTAAAGACTGGTCCAGAATACAAGAGTAGGCACAAGTTGGTGGATAGAGACTAATCTGAGGTACTGGAGTAGGCACAAGTGGGTGAATAAAAAACTGATCCAGAGTACTGGAGTAGGCACAAGTGGGTGGATAAAACACTGGTCCAGAGTACTGGAGTAGGCACAAGTGGGTGGATAAAAAACTGGTCCAGGGTACTGGTGTAGGAGAATTTGGTGGATAGCGACTAATCTGAGGCACTGGAGTATGTACAAGTTGGCGGATACATGTGGATGGATAAAGACTGGCCCAGAGTACAAGAGTAGGTACAAGTTTGCGGATAAAGACTAATCTGAGATACTGGGGTAATTACAAAAAGGTGGGTAAAAACTGGTCCAGGGTACAAGAGTAGTTACGAGTAAGTGAATAAAGACTGGTACTGGAGTAGGCACAAGTAGGTGAATGAAGACTGGTCCAGGCTACTGGAGTAGGTACAAGTGGGTGGATAAAGACTGGTCAAGGCTACTGGAGTAGGTACAAGTTGGTGGATAGAGACTAATTTGAGGTACTGGAGCAGGTACAAGGGGTGGATAGAGACTAATCTGAGGTACTGGAGCAGTTACAAGGGGTTGATAGAGACTAATTTGAGGTACTGGAGTAGGTACAAGTGGGTGGATAGAGACTATTTTGAGGTACTGGAGCAGGTACAAGTGGATGGATAAAGACTGGCCCAGGGTACAAGAGTAGGCACAAGTTGGTGGATAGAGACTAATCTGAGGTACTGGAGTAGGCACAAGTGGGTGGATAAAAAAACTGGTCCAGAGTACTGGAGTAGGCACAAGTGGGTGGATAAAAAACTGGTCCAGGGTACTGGAGTAGGTACAAGTTGGTGGATAGAGACTAATCTGAGGCACTGGAGTAGGTACAAGTGGGTGGATAGAGACTAATTTGAGGTACTGGAACAGGTACAAGGGGTGGATAGACACTAATTTGAGGTACTGGAGTATGTACAAGTGGGTAGATAGAGACTAATTTGAGGTACTGGAGCAGGTACAAGCGGGTGGATAAAGACTGGTCCAGGGTACTGGAGTAGGCACAAGTTGGTGGACAGAGACTAATCTGAGATACTGAAGTAGGTACAAGTGGGTGGATAAAAAACTGGTCCAGTGTACTGGAGTAGGCACAAGTGGGTGGATAAATAACTGGTCCAGAGTACTGGAATAAGTACAAGTGGGTGGATAAAGACGGTTCTCGGGTACTGGAGTAGGTACAAGTGGGTGGATAAAGACTGGTCCAGGGTACTGGAGTAGGAGAATTTGGTTGATAGCGACTAATCTGAGGCACTGCAGTAGGTACAAGTGGGTGGATACAAGTGGATGGATAAAGACTGGCCCAGAGTACAAGAGTAGGCACAAGTTGATAGATATAGACTAAT